AAACTCACTTGCAGTACTTGTGAGCATTAATGCACCAAGTGGATCTGTGTAAGACAGTGTTTGAGCTTCAACCCAAAAACCCTTTAGACCTCAATGTAAAAAAGTTTCAAAACCCTTTTTCTCCGTTGCAGACTGGGGTCCTTCATCCCTCTGCTGGAATAATTCCCTGAAGCCTTAATGCCATGCATTCAGTGGTGTTTACCTGGTGCTGCACTGTCATCTGCAGTGCCCCTGCACATTGTTAATTACTCTGCATTTTTCATCATCCTTTTTCCCAGAGTGACTAAACCAGAAGCATCATTCTTTTTTTACACATGAGACAGGACAGATTTGGTTTTCCTTTGTGTAGGACCATCAGCAGCATCACTTATTCTGAAATACTGACAATTCCCTCTGAATTTCTGTCTTTTTTACTTTTAACCTTAGGGCAAGATGTCCATGGAGCCTTGGAAAATCCCATGGTGGATACAAGCCTGTTGGAAGAATTAATTAGTAGTGACATAGAGTTTGGAACTTTGTAAGTATTATAGCAACATTTACTTCCTCTCCTTAGCCACGGGTCTTGAATTGTTTTATTAGTGCCATGATAAATTCTGAGTTTCAAGAGGATTGTAGCTCTCTTGACATTGTTTCTTGAAGCTGCATAGGAGAACTTAGAAAAATTAAACAACAGCCAGTAATGGAAATGTGGTTGTCTTCTTGTTCAACAGAACAAATGATAATAAAGTCTGAGTTGATTCACAACTGTTGAACTAATTATGACATCAAATGCAGAACTGTTACTTTAGCTTTCCTCTACGTGCTAATTTACTATTTATGTACAGAATAAGTGATAAAGGTGAGACTACTGTGTAATAAATTGAGAGAATAACAGAAGTCTCCCAGTTTGAAGGAAGCAGAGCTACTGTTTTCCCCCTAATACTTAGAACAGGAACTCCATCATCTCTTTTGAGACTAACTTTAAAGCTTTCAAAGGATACAAGGTGCAAAGGCTTATGGTCAGGGGTGAAAAATTATGTAGTATAGATCTATCAAAGACTTAAACCTCAAATCTTTCATCTAGACAACTGTCAGATGATTGTTGTTCAAGGCAAAGTACTATTAATAGGCTGACACTTGCACTTGCCAAGAAGCAAAGCAAGAAGGGTTATTTTAAAAATAATTAAGCATGAAATTTTACATTTTAGACAGACTCAGCAGCACGTTTACTTAAAGTGAGCCAAATAGGCCCCTACCTGATCTAAATATAATGAAGTGATTCTCTTTGCCCACGCTATAAAAGTAAAGAAGAATGAAGAGAAGTATATAAATATCCATAGACTTTATTTTTAGAGTGACTAAATGTGTTTTAGGTTAACAATATTATTGAACTCCTTTATGACAACTTAAAAAATGTTATTATTTTTCTTTTATGCATAAAATATAGCAAAAATATAAATGTGCATATGTGTGTTATTATGTAGCTTAAGTAAGTTAGCTATTATAGTTCCATTGCTACAAAGTACTTACATGCAAGTAAAACTATTATGGGTTTGGAGGCTGAACAGGATTTTACACTAAAACTAGAGCTCTATTTTGTTCTTTATGGAATTAAGAACATTTACCGAATCATTGGATCTGTACAGGTCAAATTATTAAGCATTTTGCTGTAGTGCAGAAATTTTATGCATAAACAGAATAGAATATCATAAAGGAACATGTCAAAATACTTCTAAGGAGAAAAATATTAAAATCCTCCATATAGACATATAAAATGCAGAACTTCGTAATGTCATGTGCAATGAAAAGGGTGCTGTTACCACCAAGATCTTGGGTGTATCTTGAAATTTCCATTAAAGATCATCTTGCATCAGAAAGGTAATTTGCATTACATTTATTCTTCTCATACATTACATGTGGAGCATCATGTGATTTCCTTGTCTTTTCCCACAGTAATATCTTCCACATTATCAAAAGGAGAAAAAGGGCTGCCATGTCCTTTACTAAGTGGGCATTTAATTGATTAACTATGATTGTAATGTAGAATTATTTAAACTACAGATTATTTTCTTCTCCTTCAAAAAGCACAGTATCAGTCTCTGTAAAGTTCTAACTTGGAGATATATCCCTACTACCTCTTTACTTCATAAATACTTTCTCCTAGAAAGTGTCTGTCTCTCTATTTTACTGAAATAATCTACATTAAAGCAGAAATCAAGTACCCAAGGCAACATCTGAAGCCAGAATATGAACTGAATGTGCAGAAGGGAAGTTTTAGACTTTTATGTATGGATCTTTTAAAATTTTACAAAGCACAATTGGAATTCAGTATATATAGATCAAGTATCCCACAAGAAAAAGAAAAATTAAATATATACTAAGTATTCAAAGTTGAAAACAAGGTTTAGAGTGTAGTCATGGCATTTAAAAGCATCAGAGAATCTGTACTGAAAGAAATTAAAGATTATTATAATGTGGAATTTTAAAATTTATTTTTAAAGAGGAGCCGTGTGGTTGAAGCTAACCCAAAATGCAGGGTTTTGGACATAACATGTTAGAAGACTAGTAGCAATGCCATTAAGAAATGCATAAGCACACGTCAAAAGTAATAGCCAGTAACCAAAAATGAAACTGCTCTCTTTAATGCTATCCAAACTCAGAAATACAAAATCTGCAGTAGAAGCAATAGAGTCAAAATTTTCTATTGATGCTTGAAAATATTTTCTCTCTGTGTGTGAACATGTCTTTTATATATATGAGGGTGTCTATTTAAGAAATGTTATTTTTTTCAGCCTCTGAGGTGAGGTGTGTCTCATTAGATTTCTGTCATCCTTCCTCTGCTGCAGCATTTTCAGCCTAACATGTGCCTTAAGATTTGTGTTTCAGATTAGGCTTCAGAGCAGTGTTTGAGCTGGCAATTCATAGGAATACCTGAAGGGATTGATCCATTTCTTAAACACCCATCTATTCCTAATGTAACAGAAGAAGCCTCTGTAGCTCCTTTGAATGGCAGCAAGATGCATAGGATTTCCTCTTCCTTAAGAGAGATGAAGATACTACAGATCTTTAACCATTAGTTTAGAGAGTGGGGCTTAAATCCCTCGTGAATGCTGTATGTTGAGAGTCACTGGCATGCCTGGAGGTAACTGAAGAAACACTCATGGGAAGGAGGATTGAAGTCAGCAGGCTATGAAGGGGGGATTTGGATGAGAAGGGATGGGGATTGGGCCTTCCTTCATGGCAGAGAGGCAGGGGGCCATAGGAGATGGTCTGATGAAGGGTAGGTGACACTGGTCCTGTGAGAAGGGGCAGCAAACATGGTGAGCAATTCTTCCCAAAGACCCTTGTCGGTAGCCTGGTGGTCCCCCTCCACTTGATTTCAGCATTCCTTCTTGCTGTCCTTTGTGTCTTGTTCCAGAAGAAATTAAAATCTCTTTTTCAACCCTAGGCAAAGCCAGTTGCCAGACTCCCCACCGGACTCTGGTTCAGAACCATGTTCCCCACCACAGCTACAAAGTAGGTGACATGAATTTGGCCCCTCCCAAGCTTGCCTGAAGATCTCCAGCTCCTCTTCCTTGTGCTTATGTTCTAATCTGTTTTTTCTCTCAGTCCCACGGTGTGATGCTGTGTGGCCCAGTGGGCTGCAGCCCCCACTCCCATGCCCATCTGTCGGGGCACCCAGCAAGCTCCCCTGCGGGTTCATGGAGACTTACACTGACCCCAGTGCCACGGGGTATCCTTGCACCATCTCCCAGGGCTGCTGCCTGAAGACAGAAAATGCTGGGACTCCATGGAATTATTCCACATCCTCCAGCTGTTTGGGTTTTAATTATTCATACTTCCAGCCTAATGCATCTCAGATTTCTGGGTAAATGATAAAACTTTTATGCAAAGGGTTAGACACGCAAAACCAGTAAAACTGGTTTAAAACTGGTTGCAAATCCCTGTGGGTGTAGGATTTTCCACAGGATGGCAGTATTTAGACATTTTTGAGACACTTGTGGTTGAGAGTTCTTTAAAATACCCTGATTGAGGTTTAGATTTGAAGTAGAAATGCATTTCAGTTTTTAAAACAATAGAAGGCTACTGAGAAATCAACAGGGTTTTCATAACTGGATTATAAAAATATTGAGGAGTTTTGCAATACCTGTTGTAGAAATTTGTGCATGATCTTGTAAATGTTCTTGCAAAGGACATTAGAGAAAAGGAATTGTCATATCTATGTAAGCAAGTGAAGCAGTAATCATATACTCTCTGCCATATTAACCCACCAATGTGTTCTGGATGCTCAATTATTTAAAATGCTCTGGTATTTTAATATTAACTGGTAAAAAGGAAAATTATTCAAGATAAAAGCTGTGATTTTAATGCAAATGTCAGGAAAATAAACCCCTGCCATTGTATACATTTTTAAATGGAATAATCTTCTTTATTGGTGTGAAATAAAAAAAAAAAAATAAGGTGTTTTGAAAGGAAAAAATTGGATAACTCAGTTTTAAAAACCCCCCAACAGTCTCCTCCCTCAGCAAATCAGAATTTGGATGACAGTGCAGTTAAAATGAGATAAGAGGTACCAGGGTGTTCTTTTGTTATTATTCTGTAATATCTATGTTTAAATCTATAAAGGATTAATGCAACATGTATTTTTATGAAAGTATTTATGCAGCATCAAGCAAAAAAAGGAAGCTCTCCCAATTACTAGGAGATGGGATTGATTCTTCAGCACAGTCTCAGGATTCCAGACAAGGTGAGCAAATGTGTGAAGAGGAAATTTAGTGTTTTATGCCATAGACAAGTGAATACTTGAGGAGCCCAGCTCCTGCTGGCTCAGAAATGGTATATAATATTAGTCGTCTGTACTCCACTACCCAGTATGGAGGAATTTACCTTTTTGGAAAAGCAGGATTTATTTCTATTTGGAAAATAGGAAAGAGCATTAGAGGTTCATGTTTCCTGAGGCTTTTATTGATAGAATATTCTGCGCTTTTCCATATGTGAACCTCCACTACAGAGATGATAATATATTTTACTTACTTTGCTTGGCCCTAACTTGACTGGGCAAAGAAACAATTTTGGGTCAGCTGAACAGGGAATTAATGGGGTGGATGAGTAAAGAAATTACCATTTCCTATTATCTCCTCCACTCCATATTTTCTTTCTACAAAGTGTATGCATAAGCAAGCTTGGTAAAAGCTGTATGTTCTTTCCTGCTCCTTCCCCATATTGTTTTATCAAGATAAAAATAATAAGCTCATACAAATTTATACAAAAAACCTTATCAGGCATCTACAGAAATGAATCAGCTTCTGTGAAGTGTAAGGCTCTATCTGAATGAACAGTTTGTAATGACTGATTACCTGAGCAATTTTACTGATGTCTGTTAGTGAAAAATCTGAGCTGCTTGTTATTTCTTCAGAGTAAGTTATTTGTCAGCATCGAATCAATCTTTTAAAAGTTGTTTAATGGTAGCACTGGATTTAGTAAGTTGCTTTTTCTTTGATATTTTTTGTTTAATCAGTGTTTCTTGATTGTGGCTAGTCCTCTAAGTCAGCCACTGCTGAAAAGAGAGCACAAGCAGCCACTTCTATATCTGAAATTGCCCTTGCTGCTTTTAATACTGAAAGATATAGCTTTGAAACAAGCTTTCATTGGGTGTCATTCTTAATAGCATCTCACTTACACGTGTATTGGAAAAAGAGACGTAGGTGAAAATGTCATGGGGATAATTTAGAAGTGAGGCATGAATTTCTTTACTGTGGTGTTTATCTATCTATCTATCTATCTATCTATCTATCTATCTATCTATCTATCTATCTATCTAATCTATCTATCTATCTTTGCTGTATGTCAGAAATGGGGACTTGCAAATGAAGCTTGGGCCTGAAATTATTCTGAAGGCTCTGTTTTACTGTGCTGTCACTGGCTGTGGGTGGATCTTCGTTACATGCTCAATTTCAGTTTTTCTCCTCTCTTTACTGCACTGTATTTATCTATCTCTCTTATCACACTTTCCTCTGTCTTCATAAAATGTGTAATATCTCAGAGAATTGGGGTTGACCCTGTCTGTCAAAGGATTCTCTAATGTATAGGCAGAAAGCTGTAAGGAGATCGACCATATGTAATGGTGAATGTGCTTGCTATTGGAAAACTGTGCCTCCTGTAGTATATTCTTCAATTCAAACTTGTGGTAGAGGGAATGGGAAACAAATACAATTATTTTGCTTAATTACTTTTTGTAGTGTTGCAAAGGTACAGTAGAATTCTTAGCTTTCCTTCACTTCCCCCCCACCAAAGGAAACTATTCATCCTTTTGGAGAGAATAAAAAATAGAAAGTGCTACTTGTCATGTCAATCAAACATTTGTTCTGCAAATCAGGAAAGCTGAAAATTTTATTTTCTAGAACAAGATAATATAACACAATCTTGTGGAATAACTGCAAAGGCTAATCACATTTAAATATATACGCAATGCATTTGTGATTTATATGTATGTGCATTTATGTAAATATATTTGTAAAAATGGCTATGCAGGATTTTTTGCAAGTCCCAAAAGAAATAACTGCATTATCACTATCTCTCTACAGCAACTGTAAAGGATTGTGCTGCTGAAGTGCAAGAATATGACAGTGATGGACAGAATGCAGCTTTGGAAAAATGCTGTCAAGCTCTTACATGGCAGCCATATCAAACTTCTCAGTGGAACAGCTTATTTGACTCTAATTACGAAAAATTGTAAGCAATGATGTTTGCACTTGAAAAAAAAAATGGTTTCTTCTGTTTTTTTTTTCCCTTTTTTATCTGTTGTTGTAGTTTTGTAGGAATAAATTATACATTTGGCATCCCTGTTTCTTAGAGAAGGAAGTATAACAGGTATGATGAAATATGAACTTGCAGGTGTATCAGATAAGAAACACTGGTTGAAATTGATGCCAGGTTTTCTGATTTCCCTTCATGGATTTAGGGGCAAAAGAAAAGTGAGTTAAGACACCTGGTAACTTTTGTTTTTTGTCAAATGCATTGGGGCAAGTAATTACTAAGCATATGGCACCTTTCCCCCTAGTGGTCTAAAACATTAAAGGAAAACATTAGAAGTTACCAGTATTACTTCTGGGCTCATACAACTTAAGTCTTAATGTCTTAATTATAGATAGACTTGTTAAAGACTTATTAAGACTTATTAAAGTCTTAGTTATAGATATGTGGGTGACATGTAACTGTTTAGTCAAATATTTAGATTTTTCCTGTGTTAAACAAACTGTAAATAATTTTTTTTTGGCACATGATCTGGAAAAGGTCATTCCAAATTCACTTTACATCCCTGATTTTCTGCATTCTAATATTTAGGATATGATCCCTTTTAACAAATTAACCCTTTTCTAAAGCATCTGGTTAGTTCTTCAGGATTGGTGCAAAAAATTTGTCACTGTCTACATGGGGCTTACTTAGCACAGTAAATTTTAATGCTCCTCTCGCCCAACCTGCCAAAAAGTGTCATGGAATCTGGGTGCATATCTGTGTCATTGCTGGACACTGATGTTCTCTGTTTGCACAGGGGATAGGGGCATTACACATCTTACTATGCCCCACACAACCCTTCTCTTCAGGTATTGATTGACATGACAAGAGAGCAGACCTTTACACTCCTCTGGGAGCTGGATGGACCCAGAAGGCTCTGGTTGAATCTGTGATATGAGTATTCCCTCTAAATGAAGGCTTCATGTCCTGGTTGCACTTTCAGTCAATGACTACATGAGGGCTGTGTGCTGATGGTGGGAGATTGCTCTCCTGCCACTACCCAGTTACTTGTTGCTTCCCATACAACTAAAATTAAGGTTCTAGACACGTTTATTTGTGAACAAAGCAATAAAGTATCCCAATACATGCTCTGTTGCCATTACTGTAGGAGGGGATTGAGGTGTTATTTGCAGAGGAAGTCAGTATTACTTTTAAATGAGGTCAACGGCAGTGCTGTTTTCCAAGACACACTGTAATTACAGCACATTGCACAGATTTTCTGCGTAGAGATCCTGTATTCTATTGGCCTCAAACACTCACATGCTTCTCATTGCTTAGTGTAGATGGATTAATTCCATGCCTTCAAATTGCTGCACCCTTTTGAGGGGTATTTCTCAGGGTAATTATTATTTTCCATTTTATTCATACAGGACTTGAACATCTTAGTTATTTCATTTTCACAGCAAAAATGCTGTTAGCTGAGGTAGATTAATTAGAAAAGTTTACGGTTAATTCTGCCCTTCACTGTGTCTGCTTTGGTGCATTCTTGGCTCTTGTCTGATATTGGTGGTGCTCTGTCCCAAATATGTCTGAAGACTTAAATTCTGATTAGAAAGAGGAATGTGAAGCATATTTCTAGTAGGGATGCTTGTGTGACAGGGATATCTATTACAACCTAAAAGTTCTTCCAAATTTTGCTGTACTGCTTGGTATGACTCATCATTCTTTGTGGACTAAGAACAAAATATATGTTTGCTCTTATTTACTATAAAGTACATACTTAGAAAGTTATAATATGAAATCGCTCTTTGGGAGCCATCATTCCAAATACTGGAACTTGGAGATGTGGACATTTGTAATTTTGCTTCTCAAGCTTCTTGCCTGTGTGTAGGAAAAAAGTCTGAAATTGCATTAAAAATATCAGCTAATGACCTAAATACACCTAAATACAAAAAATGACTTATTTTCCTACTATGAAATATATTCACTTCCTATATACATAAAAAATACCCACTGTAGGAAAAAAATGAGAAAGTTCTATTTCTTTAGTAAGTGTGGTATGAGGAGATGGTAGAATCTTCATTATAATTTTAAAGTTTTGAAGTAGTTACAAAATAGTTTTCTCTTTATTCCCTGTCCCAGGTAATCAATAGTTGTTTGAAAGGGGACTTCTGTTCATAATTTATAAAATAATAATAAGGTCTGTATATTTTCTATGAAGTCTGTACATTTTGATTTTTCCAAATAATAATGGAAAAGTAATGAAAATACATCTTCAGTAATTGTGCTAATGAGAGATTCTCAGTAGTATCATACAAGATTATCATTATCAAACTTTCATTAACAAGAAAAGCCAATGTCTATATAAGAGAACCTTGCCATGTAGTTATTTCAGAATTATCCATCACTTAAATCAGAGGACTGGAAACATTGTTGGGACGGTGAGTTCACTGTCTCTAGTAGAAAGACCTTTTGATACCTTTCCTTGTTTACTGTGAATCATAGAGACAGAATACTCTTGCTCTTTGGGTGACAATTTGCCCTTTGAAGAAATAAAATAGCCAGAATAGGATGGGCAATTTAAAGTCAGGCTGAAGGGCTGGTACCTATAGCTTTTTTTTTAACTTAAGCAAAGCCTCACTGGAATCCCTGTAGCTTCTGCAGAAGCACTTGCTGTGGGAACTTGTGAACAAAGTGGGGAGTCTTGCTGGCTCATTTGCTCATTGTTGTCTGCAGCACTAACTGCAGATTGTGGTTTGTAGTGCTGTTATAAAGAATGATTGAATACACTAAAAGGTTAGTTTGCGCTCTTAAGTGCACAGAGTTCCTTTATATCAGATTTTTAAGGGAGTATAATGTAAGCCTCTCCACCTCCGGTTTCCAAACATTTTGTTTTCAGACTAGAATTAGAGGACATTTTATATGTGTTTTAATTTTTACACCTTTGACAGTCTAAGAAGAAAATACTGGTAGAACTGGTGATTGTAATGATGTATTTTACTCCAGATTTGTTACTAAAAATCAGATGAATTTTTGGAACACTTTATAAAAAAGGAGGTCAAGATGTCACTTAAATATGTCAGTACTTAAAGTTGCCATACCTTCTCCTTGTTTTTGTAGACCTGCTGTAGGATATCACATTGTCACAGATAAAGGATTTAATTTTTCAACAGCAGATGATGCCTTTGTGTGCCAAAAGAAGAATCATTTCCAAATCACGGTTCATATTAGAATCACTGGACATCCAAAATATGTCAAAACTCAGCAGGGGAGGAAACTAATAGAAAAGTTTTACTTGAAAGCTTATGGAATTAAGGCAAGTGTATCTCCTCTTTGAGATTATTACTTTTAATTATCCATGTAATGAGATAAATAATGGAAGTGAACTCTTTTCTTAGTAATTTTTTGACCAAGAACATGTAACTACCTTATGTAGGATCTGTTCTTGAATAGCTACACTTAAGCTTGGGCATGGAATGAACTAATAACCGCCTGGATTCAAAAAGCATTTTTATTTTTGTAAATTAATGCACTTACTTTCCCTTTTTTTTCTTTTTTTCAAATTACATCTGCAGAAAGACTTGGGCCTTCAGATTAGATGTCAATTATCAATTGATCAGCAGTCAGTTCCTCTATTAATTTCTATGTCGTTCTATTAGATATGAATGCATTTTCACTGTTTTAGGCACAATTTGCCTATTAATGTCTATTTCAATTTTTATGTGTTTGAAAATTTTATATTCTTGTCATTTTTGAACATTATTTTTGTTTTATAGGTGGAAGCTCCAAATGAAATAGTTGCTATTGAACAGTCTCAATCAGATCGAAGCAAAAAAACTTTTCATCCTGTTAAGTAAGATTTTTGAGAAAATTATTCCATTTTGTTTCAATATGTATGGTTGGTTTGAAATATGAAGTAGTTGTTTCTTGAAATCTTAAAGTAGCTCTATGCCAGTTTTCTGATTTTTATCCAGATTTCATTGTGGTTGCACACATAGAATCACAGTAGTAATATATACCTGATCACACTTCATTAAGAGAAATTTTCATCAGTTTTACAGATATGTTAAATATGGCTATACAAAATATTTATATTCAGCTAGAAACACTATTTTACACTTAGAGCTGTATGACAGATGCATTTCCAATCTTAAAAAATGTCAGAATGTTCCTGTCCTATATGAACATGAGATACATTTACAGTCTTTTTAAGGGGGAGTGCCTCTGCTAGAAACACTCATGCAGCATCTTTCTGGAGCTCTGCCATTCTTGAGCATTTAACTCACTGGCAGAATCTATGTTTATTCTTCTGGCCTGTTTCCTATGTTGGAGCTGCTCTGTTTTCTATAAATAATTAATTTCATAATACAAAGAAGGAAGACAGCATCAAGTTAGACAGGACAGTCCTGGGATAAATGCTGCACTATATTATTACTTAAACTGAACTTTGAGATTGGAAGAAGAGCTTGATTTTCACAAAATTGTCTCTCTCATGACATTTTTCCTCTTTTCGTGTACTAACAAATAGATTCTGTGTGTATGTAAATTATTTTATGTATGACTGTTTGGTGAACTGTAATTTTATCTATATGGACTCTTCATTTGTATTATTTATCACTTGTTGGAGGACTCCTACTATGTATTTGAGACATAGGTATCTACTGTGTACTTCCAGACATGTAAATTAGGTGCAGATGAAAAGAAGGACAAGCAGTAAGACCTATCAATTTTACTGTGGAAATTCAGGCCCAATAATAAGCAAGTAGTTATTAATCCTGTCAAGCAGAAAATAGGCATCATATGGAACACATACAGTTTTATTATATTCAAGGCTGCATACACACCAAGAAACATAAGTCTCTTATTACTAAGAACAGTCTCTTACTGCTGGTGGTTTATCACGTTTATCTCCTTGGTGTAGTCACTGTTTTAAATATATTTTTAGAAACCAGGGTTACTGTATTTTTACTGTGGTTCCTCTGCTTTATTGATTTTTCAGTTTTTCTCAGAACTGTTTTAATGAGTTTGTGGACACCTGGTTTGAGCAGACACATCTCCAAATATTTACTTCCCTGATCTTGTTTTTTCTTCTGTTTTAGAGTTGATCTGCCAGGGGACCAGATAACTAAAGTAACACTAGGACGGCTGCATTTCAGTGAAACGACAGCAAATAATATGAGAAAAAAGGGGAAACCTAATCCTGATCAGAGGTATTGCTATTGCTAGTTGGCCTGTGTGTTAGAAGAAGAAAAGAGAAGGTCTTCTTTAGAATGGAGTCAATGTCTGTGAAAACTCTTTGCTGTCAAATCTTTGGTATTTTTCAAATTCTGTGATAGATCTGTAACACTGGGTGTGTTCTTAAAAGCCTCTTTCTCTGCAGTCACAGAATGATATGATAATAAAATACTCCAAACTTCATCCTCATGGTTAGAGATAGTTTCAAGAAATCATAGGCAGAATAATGGCTGACAAAATCAGGAAGCAAAAAACCCCAAATTATGACCATTTTCTTCAGAGGCAGGAAAGGTTTTAATCTTTGAAGCTTCTTGAAATTACTTGAATTTCTGAAAATTATTGTATTCTTTGCTAATTTTCAGTGATTGTGGGGCTTGTAAGAGCAAATTTCTTAAGAGTGAAGGAAATACTTTTTCTTTTATATTGTAAGAAATTTAAAAAACATTGTCTTTTTATGTATCAATAATAACAGCTGTATTTAAAACTTTTTTTCAATGAGAAAGAATTCAATTTTTGTCTTGATTAAATCAATTTCAAATTAGATACTTCATGCTGGTAGTTGGACTGTATGCTGTCTCTCAGGACCAGTTCTACTTACTATCTGCAAATGTCTCTGAAAAGATCATTGTGAGGGTAGGTATAAATTTGTATTATTTTAATATAAAAATATTTACGGTTTTGATATTTACAAGAGATTGTGGGGTCATGATTCTTGGGGATAAAAATTAACACTGAGTCAAAAGATTGAGGAAAAAACCTACAGTTGCATTGTATGAGTATGTTATTTTCTAATTATCAGAAATTAAAAATGTTATAAGTAGGGCTATAGAAGGATTTTAAAAGAAAGCTTGTTATGAGTTCCAGTATACAAAATATATTGATTTTTCCAGAATTTTTTTTCATTTGCAGTGAAACAATTTACTTCACTTGCCAGGAATTTTGTAAAAGCTTTCATTAGCTAGAGTCTTCAGTTTTCAACGAGGATGAGAAGGAAAAAAAGTACAGAAGAAGATCAAGCAGCTCTAGGAAGTTTAAGACCTATAGCTTTGCTTTTCCAGTGTTCTTCCAGAGTGTCCCACCTCTCAATTTGATGGTAGTAATCTAGGTTTTAAATTAACAAAAGGAAGATAATCTCTTTTCCTCTTAACTGTTACTTTTCAGTTGCCTGGTTCACAGAATGTTTTTCTTTTAGTACTGAGCTTTGACCTACAGTTAGACTCAGAAAAGAGAAAAAGCCCAGATCTGTAGTGTAACAAGAGCTATGGAGAACTGGGGCCGGGAGAGGGAGGAAACAGAGTCCCAGAATGAGTGGGATTGCAAGGGGACTGCCAAGGGAAGGTGGGGGTTGCTAAAAGCTTTCAGTCCTGGCTCCTTTTTCTTGTGATCAGTAGGTACTGGTTAATGTTTGAACTGGGCATAGTCTGGAGGTATAGTTATTTCTAGGATGAATGTTATGTTTAGAGCTTAGAAAGATGGGAAATACGTACGGTGCCATGTGGTGGGGCTGCAAAGAGAGGGCCTCTGGAAGATTGCAGTCCACTGAACTTTTTCATGTGGGTCAGCTGAAGAGCTGCTTCTTGTTTGCATGGACTCTTTCTAGCCCTTAGCTTATGGAGAGGAATAGGCTTAGTGTATTAGCTTGCAGTCAAGCGACACCAAAAGCTCCTGTGTATTAAGTGGAGTTGTGAAGAGGCTTCTAAAGAAAGTCAAGGGCTGTCAGAAGCTTTTAGTCCTCACATTGTTTTGTGCAGGCCATTGCTTGCATCCATTTTGGCAGCCCATCATCTGCCTAGGCTTACAACTATGGTCTGGTTTAGCATTTTGGTTCAGAGAGAGCAAAAGGGCAAATCTCCAGCATGTGAGGTGTTGCTCAGGGGTTTCCAAAGGAAGATGGGGGCTTTCAGATGGTTTCAGTCCTGGCTCCTTTTTCATCTGAGCATCCTCTTGTACCATAAACCCTCTTTCTGTAGTTATAGTTAGGTTTTCGGGGGGCATTATGGCCTGGAGCTCCTTTCTGGGTGGAGATGTGAAAAGACTAGAAAGCAACATGTGGAGTTCAGCAGTTTTCTGCACAGCTGAGAAGTTTTATCATCCTGGCTGCTGCTGTGGATTTTTGCTTCAGAATGCTGAAGCAATGTGCTTGTATCATTCCTGCATATATAGTTATTTTCCTTTATTTGTCAATTAATTTCCACAATCCTGTTTTAATCTGAATTTCTCTTTCTGGATCTGACGGATATCTGATACCTGTCACAGATATCACATAAGTAATATTTTGGGGAAGCTGTCGAATTTTCACAATTGTCTCATACTTGTTATTCACAAGATACATATTTTTTATATAAGATTTGGAAATTTACATTTTCCCACTATTTTTAATATTAGATTCTTTTGAAATTTCGATGAAGAGGGCTCCTTCAAAGCATGTGAGAGAGTATTTGAACAGGAATTCATGGAATGAGATTTTTCAAACCTGGCCACTATTTCAGGCAGAGGAAAAAGAAGGCAGAAAGGCAGAAAGATCAAGAGGCTCTGGTCTGAAGCGGTGAAAATATCAAGAGGAAAGATAGAAGGAAAATAAAGATATTTTCTAGCTGTCTAACAGGCTTTCAGTGGGAGGGTAAAGCAAGTCAGCCACTGACTACCTTAAAGTGGCAAAGCCATGCAAATGCACTGTGAGAGAAAGTAGCTCATCTTCTGGCCCTTTATACACTCCAACACAACAAAGCTGCCAGCTGAGTGGTGCTTGTCAGGCTTATCAGATCATGCTCTAATTGTGACAAACAGTGGTGAGTACACAGTGCCAGGCCTTGTAGCTGGCAAAGCCTTGTGAAAGCCTTGCTTCTTTTTATCATGATTGTGTTTTGGCCTGAATTCAAATTTAAAAAAAAAACCCAAAACAACAAACAACCCAAAATGGGCTATTGAAATAAAAATGTCTTTTCTTGTTATATGCATTCTGTTGTTTTATTGGTGTTCTTTAAAAGACTCTGTTTCCTTGACAGGAGATTTTCAATATGAGTTAATTTAAAACATTTCAGAGGATTTTATGAATCACATGTGTTTAATCTCTGCCTTGTTTCTCTTTTTTGATTTCCAGTCTCAGCTAAAATTTAGTGGTAGATAAAGAATGGTTATGTTGTGTAAAGTTAAAATTTGGAAAGCTTTGGGCATTGTCAATTTAGCTTAAGGTGCTAATAAATTAGAATTCAAGGGAAAAAAGCACGAGGCCAGTGCAGTGTAAGCAGAAACCTTTAGAAATAACTCCACTCTGTTTTTTTTCTGTTAGTGTGTTAAAAAGTTCTTGAATACAATTTCAATATTTAAGATTTGGCTATTCATTTTCCCTGAAGTTCTAATAGAACACACAATACTGCATCTATGCTATACTGTATCTTTAAACAAAAAATTTCCTTCCAGGCATCTAACCCAGGGCAGTTTGAGACTGACAGCGATGTGCTGTGGCAGCGAGGCCAGGTTCCAGAGGCAATAGCCTACCATGGTCGCGTGGGAATTAACACAGATGCCCCAGACGAAGCGCTGGTTGTGTGCGGAAACGCCAAGGTTATGGGCAGAGTCATGCACCCCTCTGACAGCCGGGCGAAGCAGAACATCCGGGAGGTGAGGCCCCTGCGGTGCTCAGGGCACTCCTGTGCCCTGCAGCGCGTGGGCATCGCTGCTCCCACGCGCGAAGCAGCCCCTGTATCCTGGCTGTGCTGAAAAGCTGCCTTAAAGAAAGCAGAGGTACCATTGTGCTCTGAGAAGCATCACCTACAGACTGGACAAGGCTCTCTGTGGAAGCTGGGGGTTGTCAAACAGGAGGGTAACTGGCCGTACAAATAGTGGGGAAAGGGAAGATTGGCTGCATTTTTCTATGTGATGATTGGCCAAATGACTGTGTCAGGCTAGATGCTCTCTCAGTGGTGTCCTAGATACCACACTTAATCTTTCAACATGTAAATCTTGGTACTTTTCCAAATAGGTCGACACAAATGAGCAGCTGAGAAGAATAACACAAATGAGACTGGTGGAATATGACTACAAGCCTGAATTTGCATCTGTTATGGGAATAAAAGATACCCATGAAACAGGTATAAAGTCAGCTCTGTTCCCATTTTTCATTAACATCTTCTGATATTTATTGTGCCATAGTGTCTTTTAACATCTTGCTATTTCATCCTCATTTTTTAGGTTACTGCAATTGCACACTTTGCAGTGTATCTCTTGTGGTATAAAAATGCAAAAATTAGGTATTGCTTGTACTTTTACAACTTCTGTTTCAATTTTTAAAGATGGGGAGTTTATTTTCAAGAAGTTTAATGAGAATGAAGTGTGTGCTTACAAACTATTTTGTTCTTTCTGCAGAAAAATGAGAATTCTAAAAGTTTCTAGGTTTTTGTTTTTTGTTTTTTTTTTTTTTTTTTTTTTTTTTTTTTTAAATATTTTTTTTTTTTTTTTTTTTGGAATGGAAAAAAACCCTTGAAATCCTGGATTTTCCTACCACAGAAAAATTCTAGATAATTTTTGCTTTGCCCGTAGTTTTTAGAATGGTCATCAGATATGCCAGTATATTTCCTGACATTAGTTTTTGTGACCTCCTGAACAGGAATAATAGCCCAGGAAGTGAAGAGGCTTTTACCTGAAGCTGTTAGAGAAGTTGGAGATGTTGCTTGTAATGATGGAGAAAAAATAGAAAACTTCCTCATGGTTGACAAGGTATCGTCTTGAGCAAGAAAGTGGGGATGTGTATTTAGACTGTTCTTCCATGTGGAGAGCTATGAACACACACCGTGCACCATAAAATGCTGTAGCCCCCCACATGTGTTACAGAAATGATGTTTGATGAATCATCAAGAAAAACATAACCAACAGCTGCTAGTAAAGGGATGAATCTTTTAGTGATAAAAGTATCTATATTAAAAACTTATTACAATACTATACGCACATACAGTTAAAAAGAAAAAGCCCTAACTTTTCTGAATAGAAGTGGATAGTGATTTCATAGCATTGGTTCAGCAAATGGTACTCCAAAACATTGTTTTGTGCTTAAGTGTTTCAGTTAATTAAGCTTTCCACAAGTGAATTAAGCAATGATGTCATTCAATTTGCTAAATAAAAATTTCCTTAGTCTAATCCTGGTATAACCTTTACATACCAAATCCAGGTGCTAGCTCTGTGTGTAGGTGGGTTTTTTTTGGCAATCTGAAATGCTTTTTTTAGGTTCAAAATCATATGTTATGACAAGGCACACAAAATAGTTACCATGCTCATAGCTGGAAATACTGCCGAGGTATTGTGCTCTCTTTTCCTCCTTTTCCCGTGGAAATACTGCAAGAGACTGTCAGTCACCGAGTCCAGTCACACAAGCTTGCAGACAGCACTTGTCTCAAAGCAGCCCCTCTGCTAATTGCTGATTCACTGCATGCCAAAGACCACTTCCCAGCTTTTTCCCACTTACAGCTGATAAAGAGAAGAGGGAGGTTTTAGAGAAAGGTGACCTTATCTTGTCTGGATGATATCATGAAATCAATCCTGCATTCATCATCATAATGCATTCTTTCATTATTCTATAGAAAACACAAGTTTACACCACCAAACTTGGAGAAAATATCTACAAAAATATTGCATGTCACTTGTCATCTTTTGATAGGCTATAAATAATTTAAATTAAATCTTCTAGGTTGCATTCCATATAAAAGAAGTATGAATTAGACGCCTTGAATAAAGCTGTGGAAAGAGCACTTCTGGAGATACTGTTGAAAAGCAAACTTTTAGAAAATATGCTCTATTTGGTCAGGGTTCCAGCCTGTAGCTTATTTCTAGGTGCTAGTAGAAGGGCAGTGGTGGTAGGTGACCCCAAGTTAATTTTGCCCTTTAAACCTTCCAATTATATGGTATGACACCTGTTGCATCATTTGCATTTTTGAATGCCTCCAAAATTTCTTTGGGGTAGTCGATTTTTTTGTGTGGCAGAAGTTTAGGTTGGAAAATTGAGCTTTTGATTCATATCTCTCCCTTGATGAAATATCACACAAACTACCATCTCTAACAGTGCCTCACAGCACTGCCATTTGGGCCCATCATGTTCCCTTTCTTCTCTGTACCTTGGATCTTGCCTGTAGGGAGAGTGCTTGCCAGGATGTCTTCCAGGAATGTGACCTACAGACAGAGAATGCCTTCTGTTCATCCCTGTAGGGTGTGATTCTGCTTTGTATGTGGCCCAAGCAGGAGTGGATTGTTACAGCAATAGCTTATTTGCTGCTTATCATTTTCTTGACTATTTGTCTAGTTATGGATCTGGGATTACTTCACAGGCACATTGGTGTTTTAATATGGTCGGATAAATCTGTGCTTTCTCCTCTTTCTCCTAACACTTGTGGCAGAATATATAGATGTCAATTCCATGACCTTTGGGGTGACAGGATCAGGAGAGATCTGTGTCTAACAGTTTAAGATGTATATTGAATTCAGAGATTTGGAACATGTCTTGTTCAGGTGGAACATCTGATTTAAATTTCTGGAGCTCCCAGCCCCAGAATAGCTCAGCAGCTTGAATAGTAAATGGACAGTGCTTAATTTTCTTTTCTTTCAGTTTGGCAGGTGATGAGGCCTTGAACTTTGTTATTTCATATTCCAAGTTTACATCCAGATTAGTAGGGTGTTAGCTGGTGTTGCATCTCTTTGTCAGTTTGGAGCTGTTGAACTCTGTAAAATTAATTGATTACATTGCATTTGAACCAGGCTCTGCTACTTTCTAGAGAAATGTCTCAACTAATTTTTTCAGATGGAATCTTCTCAGTCTCACTGTGCTCAGTACTTTGTCACTAGAGGGGCAGTGAAACTCTGATCAGTTTTTTTTCCCCTCAAATAGAGTGTTCCTTCATTTTGTGAGAAGAGCAATTTTCTCAGCTAGTTGAAGCCACCTAGAAGCAATTCATTCTTGATTTGAAGACAATGGAAAGGACAGCTGCTACGTATCATTGATACGAGGGCAAGTGTCCGTGTAAGTGATTTCACAGTTCTAGGTAAAGAACATTATTTTGAAGTCACTTTTTATTTAAATGGGCTCTTGGTATTCTGGCAGTAGGGAAACTTGTGACTTGCCACTGATAGTGTGCTCTGATTCTGATTACATGAAATGCTGTCTGGTTTTATGGAATGCAGTCACCTTTAAATGAAAGGTGTGCATGGCTTTTACAATGTGAAAGGCAAAACTCCTTTTACCTTACTTCTGCATAACTTGACTAGACTGGAACAGAGCAGCATTAACTGCAGTAACAGCTTCATCCAATGGCACCAGTCTGGCTGGACTTTAGTATGAGAAAGCCATTCTTTCACACACAGCAAACAAAATACTCTGCTACTATGCTCCTGCGGTGGATCAGTAACCATTTTTTACTCAGAAATTGATAAAATACTACCTGGATGATTATACTGAGGCCTTCTCCAGCAGTAGATTGATACCTAGATGATAAACAGAGGTAGGAGAATAGAAGGATTTTACAGGCTAAAATATCCAGAAGGAGTAAATGGAGGGTGCCTAAACTGTTTTAAATTGCAGAAATGACCATGTTATTAGAACCTAGGAGACCCCTGTAAGAGACTGAAGAGGATGAAGGGGAGAGCAAAATATTATACAATCACAACTTGACATCTGGTTTGGTTTTTAATCTGTCTCACTTATCTCTGATTAATATTATGTATACAACATGTATAGAAACTCTGGTTTGTCTAAGCCTACCTAATGCCTGTAGGGAGATGGTTGGATGTATATTTTGCTAAGGGATTCTAAAATCTGCGTTCAGCTAAAGCACTGAAAATCAAGTAGTAGATGCCTGTTGGAACAGGGTTAAGGTTTCAATACAGTATGAAGGTAAAATACAGCTTAAATTCTTGATGTAAAAAGCCCTTTAGCTTCCATTTTTCCTTCAAGTCCTCATTTTCAATTTACTGCAATTTAAATGTCTAGCAAAAGGGTTTTATGGTCATCTACAGTGACCAGTCATCTACATCTACAGTAATCTACATCTACTTGTGTTTATATAGATGAATTATGCACTATTTTCTGCTTGTTACGTCTGGTTGATGAATATACTATGTATCTACTATGTGCCTACTTTTGTCATTGTTTTCTTCTCAGGATCAGATCTTTATGGAGAATGTTGGTGCTGTAAAGCAGCTTTGTAAACTAACAAACAACCTTGAAGTCAGAATAGAAGAACTGGAGCAGTGGAACCGGAAACTGGCCAGGCTGAAACGGATCAACAGTTTAAAGTCAACAGTCAGTGAAGAGAGCAAAGTCAGGTACCTCTGGCTGGGATGTTCTCTAATAGTTGTCACACAAGTTGTTAAAGTGATCTCTGAAGCGATAGAAGGGAAACCCGATTTTGCTTGACAGTAGAGTTCAGCTATTTTCCAGTATTTAAGTTTCGCAAAAGACTCCAAATTTATAAATTTTTTTTTTTAGTCACTGAAAAAATTAATGTTTGAAATGGCTGTTAAATTGCAGTAATTTTTGTAATTGCTTCTGTTTCATAAAGGGTAGATTATGTCCAGTTACAGCTCTGGGACTTGGAAATTGCTTCTAAAACAAATCTGCAGAGCTTCTTCTGCAAGAAAGAATCTTCACTGGTGCTTCAGTGGAAGTGATGAATGTTTCCTTATTCTAAGCCATTTCCCAAAGTTTTCTTCGAAATCAAATATAGCATGTAAGACCATTCACCTGAATGAGTTAACTGGAGACTTTTATCCTTGAAAAGGAATCTGCTGACACTTGTGCCTTTCCCTTTGTAAATGTTAGAATTACAAAAGTGACATTAACACAATAAAAATGTCTTTTCTTCATTAATTACTTGAAGCATTTGAATGTTAAAAAGATCTTGTCTCTTACAGCAGGTATAGTCGAGCTAATAGTCTCTTGCCATCAATAAAATCAGTCCCACTAAAATCCAGGAAGGTGAGTGAAATGAAATCCTTGTCTGAGTCATTCACTGTGGTTTGTTTTCACTTTCTCATGCCTCTATTGTGGTATGGGAAGTGGATACCCTTTTTCAAAGGGATCATATGAGTGAGGAAATACATACCTTGAGACACCTTCCTAGGCTGCCAAGCCCTGTTCTTTAATATAAACTAATGCTCATTTGCCTACTTTGCTTTTGCCAGTGCCAAAGAGCAAGAGAAAACAACAGGTCAAATATGCTTCATACCATAATGACAGTCAAATGCTCCATCACCTAAGATTATCCTACTAGTTTGGAAAGTGCCTTTCTTCTGTATTTGTACCAGTCCTGCTTTAGCATGATTTGAGCACATACTGAAAACTGCTGAACTTTTAATTCTGGACACTTACTGAGTTCTTGATTTGATTTTGAAATACTTCATACTTCCAAAGTATGAGAAATGGCAGGAAGAAAGGACAAGAATCTGTTAGTTTTAGCTATCCTTTCTTCCTCTATAATGTTTGCACACCCAAACTATCAACAATGCACATTCTTAGAGACCTTTTAATTTTTTTCTCTGTAGATGTTGACCACTATATAAGTGTGATCATGAAAAAAAAAAAAGGGTGATGTAAAGTCAACGTAGTGTAGTATTTCTTAATCTAATGGTAGTTGTTTAGATATGTGCCACTTGAATTAACCAAACTTTTTTTTTACCCTAGGTTTGTTTATCAAAGACTAAAGAATCTTGTTCCGTGAAGATTTTCCGGGTGACTATAATAGCTTTGATTGCTATTATGGCACTATGGTAAAAATTAATTAACAACAAATTGACTTGTTTATCCCTTTCCTCTTTCTACTTATCTGAAAGAATGTAACATTTTTTTCTTCTTTTCCTTTCTGACTTGAAGAACACAATGTATTAAAATTAACAATTAATATCCTTGGTAATATTATAAAGTTGAAACCACTGTATAAAAGTAAGCTACTCACAGCTGATCTCTCTCCATGTCACAATGTATGGTGCACCTTGAGTCTATCTCAGTGGCTTGTACTAGAGGTGCAAAACTGGACTCTGCATGTTTTATCCAGTCATTCTGTGCCTAAGTACAATTTCTGATGTGAGAGTGAATCTGTTGTATGAAATGAAGCTGAACTCATTCCCATTGTGGTGGATAATTAAGTGACTGGAAATTTAACTTGTGATATTGGACTTGTGGAAAGGAAAGTATGCTCTGGACTTCTGAGATTGCCATTTTCTGTCTCCAGTCCAAAAACCTATGGCTTGCAATCAATCTCAAAGTACTCAGTGACCTGAGTACTTTGAACTGGTGGTGTGATTTTATTTAGGTTGGAAAGTGGCTGTATTTTGTGTTGAATACAAGTATATGAACACAATACTCTATATGAGTATCTGATCTAAACCCCATTAAATTCAGCCAGTATTTTTCCCACTAAAGGGAAAGTGATCAGATAGTTAACACTTGCATGACTGCATTTTGACACAATGCTGTCAAGGTATTTTTCATATTGTGTTGCATAAAAGATGGGTGTAAATCTACAGAACAATTCTCTTTCTACAGTGCTTTGACAATATGGAGCCTATATTTACTTAGCATTCGTGACAGCCGTTTTGAAAAACAGCCAGTTTACAGGCAAGTAGTTAAACTACCATAGTGAATTCAAATTAATAGAATCAGTAACAGACTGTGGATCAATTTCTTTTGGTCCTCAACTCCAATGTCCATTTCTTAATGAATTGTTTTTCTTCATCAGCAATATTTCAAGTTCTGTCCCAGTTTCTCCCGCTACTACCACAACAGGTACTGTGTCTCTGCTGGTCTGCATACACATAATTGGCTATTATAAAATGCCAGTATACAGCATTTGTGAGAATTATATGTTGGGGTTTTTTGTTGATGGTTTGCTTTTTTTTTTTTTTTAGCATTGCAGAGTGAAAGCACAGTTTCTCAGACAACACAACCCACCAGCAGGATCCCTGAAGTGAATTTCTGTGACATTTTACCTTGTGACAAGGTCTATTGTTGTCCAATTCATCACCCAAAAGTCAAATCTCTAAGTTATGAAAAAAATAATGCAAAGGAGAAACGTAAGTTGGAAATGTAATTCTTTATAATTTGAGCAGAGACTGTATGGAAAGTGTGGGGAAAGGCGCAAGAATCTTTGAAGGTAGTTAGCTTTCTACAAAAGAGCTTAGTTCAGAGTATTTAAAAAATCTTGATATAACTAATCATCACTATAGTCAATATGTTTTTGAAAAATCCAGCCTGGTTACCCTGAAGAATTTGGGGCCCTAAGGTATCTTGTCTGGTGTCACTGTTCTTCCTGGCCATTCTTGGTGAATTATGTGATGTGAAATTGAAAGTCACAAATCCCTTTAACTGACCTTTGGCTGCAGTTGGATGTGAGTTGATTAGGAGTAGTAGAGAATTAATTAACAGATGCAAAAAACCCCAGACAACTGAATTGTGTCACAATGTGGTGGTACTACATCTTTGCTATGGGCAGAGACAGAATGCCAACTGCCTGAAAGCATAAAAATTACTCTTAAAACTCTGATTGTTAAGGCAGGGGTTTTGAGCAGTAGCATTTGAAGGCAGAGCTCTATAAAAGAAAATACTTTTACTGGAATAAGTTATTTTACTGACTCTGTCTGCCAAGTGTTGTATGCATAGTTTATGAGAAGAAGCGTTGTTTACAACTTCTATGATATTTATAAGAAAGGGTTAATGCATAAAGGTATGGATAATTGTGGGAATCTTGTATTCCCCTCTCCCAGTGCTTAACATATCCAGTGTCTGGAAGCGAGTGTTAATATTACTAAACCAGGATTCATACTCTTCCTATCCTGGCCTTGGGAACAATTCTTGCAGCACAGTCGACAAAGTGGAGTGAAACTGGGGATGGATGCAGTTCAGCCTCTGAAGTACAGACGGCTGCCAGGACAGGCATTACCAATTGCTGTGACACTCTCAGCGTGAGCTGTTTCAGTGGGACGCACCCACTGCTCACCCTTTAATCCGCAGACAAGCTGTGTGTGAGTGGTCCTTGTGCTTCTTGTGATCAGTGCTGCAGTAAGCTCCGTGGCAGACAGAGCTCAGTGCAGGACTTTCAGGAGGTCATACCTGAGTGATTGGTACTGCTCTGAAACCTGAAAGAGTGTTGATTAATTAAGAAGACATTAATCTCATTTATAAATGAGGGAATTGTAGATGGATGAAAATGAAATATGAAAACCTTCTATCCTCACCTGGCTGCTTCTGATATTAGGTGGAAAGAGAAGACAAGAATTAACACAAAGCATTACCTCCTCAAGGTTTTATGCTCCAAAAAGCATTAAGAGTGGATACAAGAGTGAAAAATTGGCACAGTACACAAGCTACTGAAGCATTTCAGTTCTGCACAAGTTTCATGAACCTGAATATATCCCCAGATGGAAGGTAGCAATGTCAATATGAAATCCAAACAGAAGGAAAACCAACAAGCTGTTTAATGTTGCTGTAGCCAAGATAAATGAAAAGGAAAATGTTTTCAGAAAAAAAAAGCTAAGCATTAAATATGGGGAATAATCAAAATAAAAAGTGGATACTTTAGAATCAGCTGGTTATTCCAATTCATGGAAAGGTAGAACTGTTTGAAATTGCAATTAAATAAAACACTAATTTAGGAGTTACTACAGACCTTTTGCTGCTCCACATCCAATACTTGAATTCTGTGGGTGCAGACTACTGTGGAGTGCACACATTGTAGCTCCTAATCCTTTGCATCCCAGAGCTGTTAATGAAAAGGCTGTTTGGAAAGTTCAAGTAGAAGCAAAAGCATTCATAAGCAAGAGAAAATTTATTAAACAAAAGCTCAGCAGATCTTTATGTCATCTAGCTTAATGCGACCTTTTTTTTCTCATATTTCCTTTTAACTGATTTCTCTGGAGGATTTAGGCTTTGGAACTTCCATTGATTTCAGTGGAATTGAGGAATGTGAATACCCTTCAGCATTTTCTGCTCTCTGCTTCCATGCCATTAGTGCTCACTGCTCTCCCCTTAATGTTAAGCGCCACCAATAACCAGGAGCTGTCCTTACTTGTTGTCTCACCCCAGTGTCTCTCCCCTCACAATAAAAGGTTGGTGAGAGCCCCTGCTGGGTTTTGGCGATTCACATTTATTGCCTTCAGAGGGCAGTTAACAGATTCATAGTAAAATACCATCACTATGAGAAATCATCAGCAGATTTTTCCCACGCTGCTTACAGAATATTATAACTCACTTGAATTAAAACCATAGAGTATTCGAGGAGAGAAAAAAAAAAGATACTACATTTATTGGATGAGTTTTTCTTAATCTTATCTGAAGATGATGGTTTTCCTCATTACATTCTTGTCATGCTTGTAGTTCTATATTTGTTATTGAATTGGTTCTTCACACCCCACATGGGCCTTTGAGAAAACCCTCAGTATTACTAAATGTGAAAGAGTGTAATTTTATTTACAATTTATTGAAGGTTGCTGTGGTGCTTTGTGATAGTTCTTGGTGTTTTCAATTGGCACCTTGTATACAAAATTTAGATTGCAATATATGAAAGAACAATGAAAAGGTAATTCTATTATGAGTAAAAACCCAAGTGAAAATAAAGTTCTATGCTGGTTACTGACTCAGTTTAAATAGTTGAAATCTTAGTGAAGTAAATCTGTCTTTGTCCTGGTTTTTGTACAAAATTCTGATACCTCTTAATGGTTTCTTCCATCACCTGCAAAAGAACCACACTTTTAAATGTTTACTAATTCCAAGTTTTTAATGAATATTCCTACCAACACTTGCATGGGCTGAACTATTTTATCTACATAGAACAATCTTTTACCTCCACTAGGGGATATGCATTTTCTACAGAACAGCTCTCTATTAATGAAAATAGAAAATTTCAGTGTTTAATGCATAGCTAGCATATCTGGACCATTAAGAGAAACCAGGAGAAAATGTGTGACAATTCATTTGTGAATTAAAGGGGGGAATGAGAGAACGAACAGGCTTTTATTAGGTCTGCCCCAAGATGAGTGTACATGTCTAAGTGGTTGCATGTGTTCAGTAGCCATTTTACTACGTGTGTAGAACTGTATAATGAAATGGGACAGCAGATGACTACTAAATGCAGCAGTTACCACCAAATCTGGCGGAACCTGTAGATCTGTATGATGCACTAGTAAATAGGAAATTAATTCAAGGAATAGCTGGCAGCAGTATCAGAGTTTTATATAAAAACACAAGACAGATTAAAATCTCAAAGATGATTTATATTACATTGCTTCTGGGCCCTTGAATTCCATTTGTTGATGTTGCTCCATGCTCTTGGTCACCTACTAGCATAAGAAAAGTCTGGATTTTCTAATTTCCCAATACTGAAATGAAATCCAAATCTGGAATGAGTAAGAAAACAAAAAGGTCAATCCAGCTGTTTTGTTTCAATCTCAGTAATAATACACTTCGATCCTTGCTTCCTTTAATGAAACAGTCATTCTGAAATCAGAAAGTTTCCTTTGGAAAACATGTTAATGGAGTATTTTGGTATTCTAGAAGTGATATTTGATGAAGCACATTAGTTTAGGCAAAATCAGCATTTCCAGTGCCAGTTTCCTGTTAACATGTCTCTGAACAGATTCTTAGCTGGCAATCTGTGTAGAAGCACAGGAATAGCATTAGACCATTTCCCATGGGCTTGGAGGGCCATTTGCCTTCCCCAAGTTGTACTATATGATGATTATTCAAATGATCATTAAAGTTCATTTTTCTAGGCAAGTGTTGAGAAAATTAATAGAATAACAATTGAAAAAAGAAGTCATCAGCTTATATTACACAGCCTAGTTCCATGTGTGAAGTTACAGAGGTGACATCAGTGAACATGGTGATCATTTGTTAGAGACAAGTATTAGCTTTTTAAATTTGGTTATGCATCCTCTCTCTGAAGTACTGGCTCAGTCTGCAGTATCTTAACATCTCACATTAAAAAAATCTAAGTTGCTCCCTCAGCCTATATTTGCATGCCATATGCCTATAATTTCTAAAATGATTTTCTCACTAATAAGAAAGATGTGGCTTTTTGGTCAGATTTGTGCTGAAGTGCCTGGCTGCATATTGACTTTCAGCTTGGCTCTCTGTTATAGAAATTGATGATGTTCTCTGTGTATGATGAAGTCTTTTCTATTAGGCTATGTTTTGGATAAGTTTTTGATATTCTGTAGATTTCAAAAACTTGTTTCTTCTTATCTGCAAAATTATTTTGACTGTGTATATCTTCTTCTGAATGGAGGTGCTTTGTATTTTCGAGATCTCTCTCATGGTTATGCATTTCTATTCAAGAGATAATTAACAAAATATCTTCTGGTTTTCTATTCATACTTTGCTGTTACAATTGTGCAAGGCTAACTTGGGCAATGTTTGTGCATTCATCCTTTCACAGGAAACAAAAGTGATTTGTTACCCAAACGAGATCCCCTCAAAAAACCTGGTGGAAGACCTGATCTTGGAAATGACTGTAAGTCCTATATTTAAATGAAAAAAAAAATTAAAGTGTTTACTTGTATAATTTTCAAAATCTACTTTTAGGCTTTGAATTCTACTTCTGGAACTTAGGGAAGTTTCAGTTATAATTAATCATTATAGAGAATTACCACTTGTGAGTCTAGTTCCTGTGAACAACAGGAAACCTGTGATTCACTGTCATTTTCAGTTTATTCTTGCTTCTTCATTGGATTTTTATAGACATTCTGACTCCCCTCTCTAGAGAGTTCTTAGGCTTGGCTTCAAATACAATAAAATGACAAGTGCCATTTTCCTTGACAGGGGCTAAAATCTTGTGCTTAAGGATATGAGCATGATATTCATGTGCAGGAAACTCATAATACAGTGTGAAGGAAGTGTTTGGTGTTTGCCTCATCTCACCTAAGGCATTAAAATGTCAGCTGCTCAAAGGGGCCATCTCTACCTTCAGATCCTGACACTGCCTTCAGAGGAGATGAAATTAAGTTCCTTGACACAGGAAATTTGGCTTGATTTCAGGTTCCCCTTTTAGTGACTGTGCACTGCTGTCAGAGCCAGCCTGGGCTGAAAATATCGATTCTTTTATGTAAAGATGAGTATCTGCTGACTACATATGTTATAACAGCATGCTCTGGCATTCATTCAGTGTGAGCAGGATTATGTCTTGTGTCTTTTTGGTTTATGTAGATCCTCTGTTTTAAGGCTTGTTTTTTTTTTTTCCTTTTTTTTTTTTCTTTTGATAAATATTTGATTAAAGACTAGGCAATATTTGGAAGATAAAACATCTAGACTTAGACATCTAGAACATGCACTTAAAGCAAGTGAGGGATAGAACACAGGTTCTACTTATTGCCTGGATGTGCTGCAGTGGGATAATCTGGGAAAAATCATTCCCCTTCTGTTTTTTTTTTGCATGTGTACACACACCTCAGGCATCATGATGTTGCATCTTGTAATAAGTTGCTGTGTCACAGGGAAATGTTCTCCTGTGCTACTTCTCTGAGATGAACTTGCTCAATTTTCCTCTGTCACTTGTAGATATTTGCATGCTGACAATTAAGTATATACTACCACACAGAGATTCTATAATCAGAGAATATGTCACCCTATACTCAGCAAGTTTCTCTGCAAAGCAGGGAATGGTTGCTGTGGAACAGAGGAACAGAAACTCAAATCCAGTGTACACAGCCTGATATGAAGGAATGGGCTTGCTGACCCAAGTCCTCCTTGTGCTTTCTGCACCACATTGTAAGACCAGGTGAAGGGTCTGCAGAGGAAGCTGTATGAGGAGCAGCTGAGATCCCTTGGTTTATGCAGCCTAGAGAAGATATTGAGGGGAGACCTCCTGGTGGCCCACAGGTTCCTCGTGAGGGGAAGAGAAGACACTGATCTCTTTGCTCTGGTGATCAGTGGTAGAACCCAAGGGAACAGCATGAAATTGTGTCAGGGGACGTTTAAGCTGGATATTAGGAAAAGATTCTTCACCCTGAGGTTGGTCAGGCACTGAAACAAGCTCCCCAGAGAAGTGGTCACGACACCAAGGCTGCCAGAGCTCAGGAAGGATTTGGACAGCACTCTCAGACATGTGGTGTCTGCTTAAGGGAAAAACAATATTATCATGGCTAAACTCACCATCTATCTGTAGTATATTACAAAACTCTTGCAAAAACAAAAATTCTTGCAAGTTCAAGGCAACATTATATGAAGAAATTATTATTTTCTTTTAAGCTGGGTAGTTTTCTTCCACAAATAATTAGAAACAAGTTTTGTTGCATTCCATATTATTCCTCTCAACAAAGATGAGATTTTTCAAGTTTGTGGTTACTTGAATGTATATGGCTTCTAGTACATGAAAATGAATATTGACCCATTTGAGTTTTACTTGGGATGCCATCAAAGTAGCCTTGAACATCTGTGCAAAAGAAAATGGTGCAATATTAGGTTCCCAGGACATTGGTCCTTGCAAACTGAACAAGGTTCAGTTTCTCCAATGGCAGAATGAAGGTAATCAACCAGAGGTGTTTAATTGAGTTTGAATTTACACCTGCAGCAAGTCATGTAGTGGCAATCAAGGCAGTAGACTAACTGCAGTTTTAATATGCTCTTATCTAAGATTTCTGAAATAATCAAGAATAAACTATTATTCTTAATATTTTTAGGGATTGATACAACAATCAGTTCCATACAGATTTTGGAAACTCAGCAAAGCATTGACAAGCGCTATTGTAGTAAAAATTTGCAGTGCAGGTAGGTGAATTTTTAATAATTATTACTTTATTATTTAATAAATTAATAAAAATAATTGTTGTATTATACTGTTGTAAAATTAGACACCATTATTGTGCCCTGGCTGGCTCCTGCTCACAGTTGATTCATCTAGTATGCAGTAGTCTTTGATACTTTTTACTATTTTTTTTCTTTTTAAATTTAAATGCAATTTCCATGTTTTGATGAAGATACTGTCTATCTCAAAATCCCATGTGTATTAATGCAACCTTTTTCAGCTCTGGAAACTACAGCTATGTTATTCCTATTAACAAATACATGCCCACGGATGTAGAAATCTCACTGGAAATAAAGTAAGTACAATTAAAAGGAATACATGCAAAAGACAACAGTGGTTCTTAATTTGATAGAAATTCTTGCCTGATGTCTATCGTTACACAAATTCATCCTATTCAGAGGAGTGGGAAAAATCTATGCACAATGTAGACCTTTTAGGTAGATTCCTTGCTGTTGCATAGGCCCAATACCATTCTCAGCTCAAGGAAAATTTCACCTGATGTTGCAGGTATTGAAATCCAGAAGTCTTAAGCTTCAATCCTACAAATCATTTGGGCAGACATGTATGTATGTATTAGCAAGATTGTGGTCTCTGGCCTAGGGATCTGATTTTTCTTTTCTTGTAGAGAAACATAAGGAACCTAACATGAGTAACTCCAGGGAGTACCTTCTTTGGGCCTGTTGTGCCAAGCCCTGTAAATGGGGGATTCTTGTGCAGGAACTTCTGGTGTTGCGTAAAATTGTGACTTACAGCAGGGAAAAGCAGCAGAATTAATCCTTTCAGCAGGTTTTTTCTCCTCAAAAGCCCACCTCCACTGTGTTCTCCCAGAGGGAACAGGTCATTTATTTGTGAGTTTTATTCTGAGAAAGGCCAGCAGTAGTCAGAACAGCTGCCAAACAATCTGCTTGACAGCAGTTTATGACTTCTGTCTCTGCAACAAAGGACTTGTCCAGTGTTTTGATCTTCAGTGTTATCCCTGTAAGCATCTGCATTTTTCAGATAAGATGAAATATAACAGTGCCCTTAAAGTGTCTGCTTGTTTTCTACAGCCACTGAAAATTTGTCTTTTAAATGTATGCCGTTATAATCCAATAGTATAGCCCTCCCATACAGGGATTAATACATCATATTCAGAGTTTCACTGAACATGACTGTATTTTGAGTATTGGTTTGGGGGCAACTGATTTTATTTTTAATAGAGTCATTTATCCTTATTTTTCTCTGTTTCTTGAAGCACCACAGAACCATTAATTATATTTCTCTGCAAAGTCACATTTGGAAATTATTGCTCTCATTATTCTTCAAGCCAAAACACTAGGAAGAATTTCCAAGAAACCACACAGGTAAGATTTTTATAGCGATGCGCTGGGTTTTGGGAATCATTTTTATGAAACTAATGGCTACAAAATTCTGATCTTTGCTGGAGTACTAGAAATCCAGATGCTGGTACTTTGAGTCTGTCAGTCATGGCTGGCTTTGGCATGACCATAATGAGATGCAGTCTTTTTGTTGGAGTCAGTTTTTTGCCGACTGTTATAATAATCTATCCAATAATTCTCTGCAAGAACAGTTTTGATTCTGCTTCAGCCTATGCCACGACTACAACTCATTATAACGCCAGAGATACTTAAGAAATAGGAATAACATCACTCAGAACTTTAGGAGAGTATTCCAAACTCTCATCTACTTGATGGTTTCCATTATTATCTTACGGGTAATGAATTCCAGTTTTAAGGTCTGGAATTTGCTGGTAACAATGGTAATATTCTGTTTTATTTCTGTATGAACAGGAGTTTACCAATAAATCCCTCTAGGGAAAAGTCTTCATTTAAAAGCAAAATTGTTTATGTGTCATTCTCTGGATTGCCTCAATGGGGATAAAAGGTGTTGAAACAGGTTAGCTTTTCCCACTAAAAAATATTTAGTAACCAGGTCTAGCAAATCTTGAAGCATCTCGATGAAGGCTTTAAACTTTCTTCAGGTTCCCTGGACATACAGGCCTCCTTCAAGGCCCCCATTTGTTAATGCTTGTTCAGAAAAATTTATTCTGGCTAAAACAGTAGGAAAGGCAGAAGCAATTTCTGAACACCTTGTAGGAGAAACATCTCTGAATTTGGAAGTAATTTCCAATTTCTTCTGGAAAAGAGTCTTCAGAATTGTGATCTATGATCCCATATATAACATGTTTTTAATTTTTTTTTTTGTTTGTTTGGTTTTTGGTTTTTTTTGTGCTTAGTCAGATTACAGCACTTGAGATACCTCCAGCTGACTTTTTGCTCAGCTTTTCAAATGTCCTTGCAAAAAGTTTCAGGCTTCTCTCTAACAGTGGCATAGTCATCCAAAAGCCCAACTTTTCCAAGTTTTGACCTGTCTGCTGTAATTTCAGCAGAATTGAAATTAAGTCAGAAATGAGAGTTTCACAATGCAGAAATGTCCTTGAAGCTTACTGACAAAACTGGTCAAAGACATTTCCTGTGTCAACCTGAAATCCATATCAAAAGACTAAAGCTAACTAGCCTCCAGCAGCAGTGAGCTTTCAGATTTGATGTGACTCAGAATAGAAATGCCTAACTGAAGAGGTTTCTTTTAAGAGGATTTTTCTAAGGATGGGAAGGCTTATTCCCTGCCAAAAGCCAGAACAGCAATCATGTGGACTCACCAGTCCCACGTAAGTTTTGCCATGTGAGCACATTGTCTTCAGCAGAGAGGATGTGTCAGAAAGTGAAGTGAGGAGAGAAAGATGAAGGAGATGAGACACTAGAAATATAAGTTACCATGGGTCATTAGGTGAAAGAGAGGTGAGGATTGAATTTTGTTTTATTCATTTTAGCATTAACATTTCAGGTACAAAATATGGTTTTTTGCTATTGCACGGCAGAGCACTGTAATAAAAAATAGCATGAGACCTTTCAGGTCTCATGCTATTTGAGATACAGGGTAAAGAGTCTACCCATGTCTTTAGAATATATGGAGGAAATTTTTTGTCTTCTGGGGACTGCTAAAGTTGCTGTCCCAAAATCAGCAGAATTGCCATTTGCTAGTATTACAAATTGAAGCTCTCAGGCCACCTGGCATATCAAGAAGAATCCCCATTTTTGGGGAGATTTGCTTAGAAAACAAGTGAAGGAATCCAGTTACTCAGAGCCAGCTGAGTGTCACTGGGAGTCAGATGCCTGCCAGTTCTCCATGTGGAGCCTATCAAAGTAAACCCACATTTGCAGGTTTTAAAGTCAGCACTTGATCTTTAAATACGTAATTACCTTGCACTGCATTTGTCAATGAAGCATTTCCAGAGTCTATCCTTCTCTCCAGTTTCCCACGAAATGAGGTTATCTAATCTCTCTCATTTGTCACCTAGGGACGGCAGCACATTTGGGCTCTCCCTGTGGCTAGGCTGTATGACAGCGCATACTCCTTCCGCGTAGCTGTGCCGGTAAGCCTTTTCAAATGGCAGCATAGCAAAAGACCAATAGCATTTGAACTGAAAGAAGTTCCTATATCAATCTCCTTTATTTTTCTTTTGCAGGGTTTTGCTAGCTGCTCAACAGACCGTTACTTTGCTGGAATGTTTTTTACTGATTACTACTTCTACTTTTATCGGCAATGTAATTAAAATGTTGCTGAATATTCTGTTCTTTGGGGAAAAGATGAGGAAACACTTAATATGAAAAAGAGACTTGCAAATAATCCTGGATTTTTTAAAAAACCTCTTTCTGGATTGTATGGGATTTTCTTGGGTTTTTTTCACTTTTAAATTAATAAAAAAGTAGAAAAATAAAGTGTTTGACAACAACCATAGCTCTGCATTTCCAGAAACTGTTTCTAAAAAGACACAAGGTAATGGAGTATATGATGGTTTTGTGGGTGGAATGGGAGCTTCAAAGTTTATAAGAGAAGCCTTCCCATTGAGTCACAAGGTGCAGAATGACCTCTGGCTTTCTAAACTCCTCAGAGAGGAGTCTGGGTGTGGTTGGATCCAATCTTAGCCCCAGACTTGGCCAACGGTTTAAGTCTAAGGAATTATGCACCTGTGATTGAACCTTTCTACAATTTTGTCATGCAGAATTAAGGATGGCAAGACAGATGTATAAAAATGAATTATTTATTATGATAAATGATTAGACATAAAGATCTTAATCAGGATTACTTATTACATGGTATGGAAGTTAACACTGCTAGTGTAATATATGATAAGGTACTCTATTAGAGCAATGACATTAAAGTTATCAAAAAAGAAACAATTATTGTGTAGAAATCAATGTTACTCACCCATGACTGTGACCATGCCAATGACTGTGGGCAAACATCATTAGCTCACCTTAAGAGGTGTCCCCACCCAGGAGAGGAATCTCCACACATGCTCCAAGGAGTGTGCTAAAAATCCCTTCCATTTGGAACTTTTATAGTATATCTATAAGTGGTACTTTTATAGTATAAAGTGGTTCACTGTCAGTCATATGTCTCCATATGCTTATGGAGAAGTCAGTTGTGTCAGCTCAGCATCTTTAGGTAAGGATACTTTGCAATACCTGCCATACCTTCACCTCACTCTCAGGATGTTTAGCTTTGGAGCCGATGAGTCAGATTTGGTTTTGTGTAATTCAGCACCAAAAGCAGCATGACACCTCCTCTCAGTTCCTATTGATAGCTTTGAAAAATTTGCATTGCTCAAGTCTTTACTGCATCCCAGATAGATGTGTAAATAAAATGATCATATAGATCATGTAGAAGTTATATGATATTATATATATAGCAGACAATAGCAAATGGGTAGGAACACTGCTGAGCTGGGATACCCTTCAGTTTTCAAAAAATGGGAAGATGATTAAATGTTATTTCAAATAAGGAGATCTGCTTCTGTCCTACAGGCATACACTTTATTTTAGTATTTGCTGCCCTTTTTTAGATATAAATCCATTTCGTTTTTTGCTAACAGAACAAAAAACAACCAAAACCCTAAATTAGAAATGTAGCACTCTGCAAATGCCCTCTAAAATAAGTGTAAGTTAGGGAACAACAGGTCAATTCAGTTGTCTGTATAAGAGTTTCCGTTTCAAAAAGCAGTCCCATCATTGCCACCACAGCTGTGTGATTTAACAATGCTACTGCTATTTCAACAAGTTATATTTTAGCCATTTTCCCCTCTGAAACTGTACACCAGGAATGAACTATTTACTCCTAAATTCAGGTCATATTTTTTCTTGGTGTTTGTGCTTTGAGTTAGTATGATAAAATAATAGAAATATTGAAAATAAGAATGTCTTGCCTTCATGGCTTTCTAAGTTGCATATGGATACACACCTGCATGGGAAATTTTTTCTGTTTATATTTAGGAAATACATTTTTCAGGATGACTATTCAAATGAAATTTTACATTAGTTACTCAGAAAGAAATCAGATCTAATAATCAACTGAAGTGTAAATAGTGTTGTAGGATATGTTTAGATCAATCCTCTTTTTTTGTGTAGACAAGAGAAAGTAAATATAACAGAGAGAATGTAGGCTTTTAAAGATTTATTATGTGAAAGCTACATTTGAACAACTGTCCTCTGAATGAAATTATTTAGCAGTGAAAGAGAAACATTAGGAAGAAAAATTAATATTTAAAGAAGACCTTGCCACAGTCTTTGTGAACACCAGTGTGCCTGAATTGTATATTTATTGCCTACCAGTGTGATGGGAGAGTTTAATTTGTTTCTGTGCCTTGATTTGGCACTTCTTTTGTCGCTATTTTGGAGCTTCCTTTAAAATCTCCTTCTCACTGATTTTTTTTTTTTAGATGCATGTGCCTAGTTGTGGGTCAGTTGCAATGTCTGGCTTCTTTTTCTTAAATTACTTATTTGTTTGACTTTATGTGTAAAGGTAATTTTGTGGTGTAGGTTTTTTTTTTTGTTTTTTTTTCCTGGGAAGTATTTGTGGTGTAAACCACTGTTCTATAATATTCCAGAGACTAACTGGTTTTGGAACTCTGGATACAAAATAATCAGAATCTGTGCCTTTAATTTTTTGTATTTTGTACTTCAGGGTAGAGTCAATCAGCCACAGACGATAATGCATGTGCATTTTGACCAAAAATTCTACCTTTTTAGGCCCACCTGGTTTTCATCACACTATTCTGGATTGTAATTCCCTTCCCAATGGCCCAGAGCACTGCAGCAGGAGAATATAAACTGTGTTTCCTGTCATCAAAAGGCTTTCTCTAATTAGAGTCTAGAGTGAGGTGCATGTGGGATAGCAACTATTTTATTTCTTAAAAAGCTTGTGGTGATTTAATTACACATCAGTTTGCCCATTTAAGAATTTTCAACTAGTTCTCTAGTCCTATGTTTGTAGTAAGATACTGTTGAAGATATCATTCAGGTTTAAGGTGATGTGTGGCTGTATGAAGGCTGTGTTCTAACATGTCTGAGATAACAAATATCAATCTTGGCAAAAGCTAGGGAAGACCTAGCAGAAATTAAATACTTTATGGCAAAAGAACTGTGGCTGGGTGCTGTTTACCTGCTTACTGGAGTTAGACCGTGACACAGCCCCACCAGAAACCCAGTGAGTGACTGACCTACATGACCAGATTTTGATCCATTTTGGACTGGAAATATAGAAGCTCTAGGAATAATTCTCACCCCCCTAACTGCCAAGCCTCCACTTTACTGTGTTTGGGAAGTGGAACTCATTTTGACAGCACTGGACTGGTGATATTCTTGGCCTCCTGCTGTCCTTCTCCCTTGTATGGCATTGAACCAGAACTACCAGAGAAAAGAATACCACATGGAAAACATGGCCAG